CTGCACCCCTGCATCAAAACAAACGCAAGCGCAGGTTGCCAGATTGTCGTGTTCTACATAGAAGCAGCGGCACGTGATAGAAGGAAAATTCTCCATATTAAAAAAGAGTTTTGGTCCTAACCAACACCTCGAGTAGATTTATTAGAAACGGCTCCTATTCCTATTATTGTCACAGCTGAAGAGCAAAACAGCAGGTTATGATCTTCATACGCAGGTGAACAGAGTCGCAGCACACATCAAACCTGGAGGAAGCTGCTCTACTCTACAGGGGAACATCAAACTCAGCGCATGAAGACACTTCACACACTCTCAGCTGTTCAACACACACACACACACACACACACACACACACACACACACACACACACACCAGCTGCTCCTCCGTGACTCTGCTGAAGAGAGGATGATCACTGAAGTGTTGGACGATCCACTCGTGCACCTCTTCTACATCAGTGTTCGTGTAAACCAAACCCTAGACAGAGCAAACACACACACACACACACACACCATTGAGTCATTAGCAGCCTCAGGTTAATTCTGTGAAAGTTCACATCAGAAATGCATGAATGAATGTGATCTGACGCCAGCGCACTCTAACAGCACACACACACACACACACACACAGGCATGCACATACACAGTAACGCACAGACATACAGGGTATGCACACACACACACACACAAACACATTCATGGACACAAACACGCTGCATGCACAACCTAACAAACACACACACACACACACACACACACACACACACACACACACACACACACACACACACACACACACACAATTAACCTCAGACACACACTCACTAACAGACACACGCACAATTACATTTCTACACACATACTTGCATGTGCACACTCTCTCTCTTACACAAAAACACTCACACATGCATACACACACACGCGCACACACACACACACACACACACACACACACACAGGCGCACACACACACAGATGTGCGTGAGGATGTTTCCTGAAATACTCTGAACTGCACAGATTTCCCAGACTGAGAATGAGAGCAGGAGAGCAAACACTGCTTATCAGTGTGTGTGTGTGTGTGTGTGTGTGTGTGTGTGTGTGTGTGTGTGTGTGTCAGCGCTGCAGTTTACTCTTCACTTCTGTCTGTTAGATAGAGTCAGCAGAACAGCAGCTTCTCAGAACTACAGGAGAAACTTCATCTCTGCAGTACACACACACACACACACACGCACAAACACGCACGCACGCGCAGACACACGCACACGCGCACACACACACACACACACACACGCACGCACACACACACTCTCACACACACACACACACACACACACACACACACACACACACACACAATCTAGCTCTTATTCATTCATTCATTTCCTTCAGCTTAGTCTCTTTATTCATCAGGGGTCGCCACAGCGGAATGAACCACCAACTATTCCTGCATAAGTTTTTCACAGCGGATGCCCTTCCAGCTGCAATCCAGTAATACACACTGGCATGTTCACCATCACAACCAGGAATATTCACACACAAACGCTCACTAACACACATGACTACACATGCGCACACACTGCTGATCTCAGGTTAGAGCGGGGGGTTAATTAAGGACACACGGTGGAGCAAAATGTGCAAAAATTTAAACACACACACTTTAACATCATGCATTGGTGTGTGTGTGTGTGTGTGTGTGTGTGTGTGTTAGTGTTCTCACCCCGATGCGCAGTGTGTATGCGTACTCGGCCAGCAGTGTGGGGCTGATGATGCGCCACTTGTGTTTGGTTTTCTTGAAATGAGGGTCCGGAAAGAGGAAGAACATCTTACTGAGCTGTGGAGAAACACACACACACACACACACACACACACACACACACACACACACACACACACACACACACACACACACACACACACACACGTAAATTTTTTATAAAATAATAATTGTTAATTATAAAGTGTGTATTTGGTTTCAGTTTGTGTTTATATGTGCATTATGATCAGTGTGTGTGTATGCATATGTGTGTGGCTTAGTAAATATATGCATGCATGTATGTATGTGTGTGTGTGTATGCATGTGTGTGTGTATACATACACACACGCATGTGGATCAGCATGTTTGTATATATATGTGTGTGTGTGTGTGTGTGTCAGTGTATGCATATACGTGTGTGGCTTAGTTGTGTGTACGTGTTATTTTGTGTCTGCGAATCAGTGTGTGTGCATATGTATATGTGCTATTGTGTCAGCTGATGTGTGTGTGTGTGTGTGTGTGTGTGTGTGTGTGTGTGTGTATGTGTGTGTCAGCTCTTCTTTAGACGTGGTCAAACCTGCAGATCTGGAAATCCCCCTTCAGGAGTGTTTATTACAGTACAGACCACCAGCGCACACACACACACACACACACACACACAGATCAGCTGCTAATATTAACATCAGTCTGCACGCTGCTTTTATTAGCCCAATAAATGAAGACAGACGAGCTGAGGATAATTAGTGGGAGCAGCAGCCCCCGGCGCTGGAAAACACACTGCGCTTTAATTACGGCTTCAGCCAAAGACTGAAAGAAAGTGTGTGTGTGTGTTTGCTTTCGGTGAGCGTGTGCCAAAAGCCCCGCGGAGTCGAGAGCTCGTGGAGTCTCCTGCGTCTCCTGCTCAGGTGTGGCGGTGGGATTATTTACACCCGAGACTCTGACAGGTTCGGGTTTCGCTCTCCTGTAACTCTGAGCATCTCACTGCGCTGGTGATGGGTCTTACACACTACACACAACCAAGAGGAGAGAGCGGAGGACAACTGTAGACCACAGAGACTGAGGACACGCTGCAGTCATGATGATCCAGTCGACTGCCAGCCATCATCACTGATCTCTTTACAATATTCAACATTTAAATAAAGACATAATGAAAATCTTAAAGCCAGGTTAACATCGTCGCTATAATTGGTGTGTTATTACTATTTAATTAACTAGCACATTAATTACCACAGCCACATCACCCTGCAGCCCAAGAGCGGCCCCTCACTGAAGATGGGAACACTAGGCTGCTGTTGGCAGAGGTGTTAGTGAGGCCAGTAGGGGGCGCTCAACCTGTGGTCCGTGTGAGTCCTAACGCCCCAGTGTAGTGAAGGGGACTCTATACTGTCAGTGAGCGCCGTCTTTCAGATGAGATGTTAAACTGAGCTCCTGATTCTCTGTGCTCATTAATAACCACAGGTCACTTCTGGTAAAGAGTAGGGGTGTAACCCCGGTGTCCTGATCAAATGGCCATACACGAGAAATGTGCTGTGTCAATACACATTACTTACTTACTAATTAGCAAACGTCTAAGATAAGCAGAAAACTGAATGGTTTAATCTATACACTTTAAACACTTCAGGAAAGACCAAACAAACCATACTGTCACTCTAATATTCAATGCGGCGAATGAAGCCCCGCCTACTAGTATAGGAGCCAATCATCGATCGATGTAGACCGACATTTCACGAGGGATCAGACGTGTGCTTTTATGAGCATGCTTTTTGTGGTGAACAAACACACAGACATCAGAAATATATCCACATACAGCCTGAAAATCTCTACTTTTAAATGAACCGACTGCACTCGAGAAACAGATGTTCTCTGGTCTTGTAATCTGTATGAAACCAACGCGAGGTACAGTCCATTCTGTCAATCGCACATCAAATTACTGCAACTACTCAGACTACTGTCGCAAACAAAAATGATATGCGAGGGGTTGTCGCAAACGAAAGTTAACAGCGGGCGGTCGTCACATGGACTAAAGTGCAGAGCAAGGGGGGTTGTCGCAGACGAAAGTTGACATCAGTCAGCTGACGCGGATGAAAGTGAAGAGCGACGGGGTTATCACAGACGAAAGTGAACAGCAGGCAGTTGTCGTGGACGAAAGAAAGTAAAGAGTGAGGGGGTTGTCACGGACGAAAATAAAGAGCGTGGGGGTTGTTGCGGACGAAAGTAAAGAGCGTGGGGGTTGTCGCAGACGAAAGTAAAAAGCATGGGGGTTGTTGCGGACGAAAGTAAAGAGCGTGGGGGTTGTTGCGGACGAAAGTAAAGAGCGTGGGGGTTGTTGCGGACGAAAGTAAAGAGCGTGGGGGTTGTTGCGGACGAAAGTAAAGAGCGTGGGGGTTGTTGCGGACGAAAGTAAAGAGCGTGGGGGTTGTCGCAGACAAAAGTAAAGAGCGTGGGGGTTGTTGCGGACGAAAGTAAAGAGCGTGGGGGTTGTTGCGGACGAAAGTAAAGAGCGTGGGGGTTGTTGCGGACGAAAGTAAAGAGCGTGGGGGTTGTTGCGGACGAAAGTAAAGAGCGTGGGGGTTGTTGCGGACGAAAGTAAAGAGCGTGGGGGTTGTCGCAGACAAAAGTAAAGAGCGTGGGGGTTGTTGCGGACGAAAGTAAAGAGCATGGGGGTTGTTGCGGACGAAAGTAAAGAGCGTGGGGGTTGTTGCGGACGAAAGTAAAGAGCGTGGGGGTTGTTGCGGACGAAAGTAAAGAGCGTGGGGGTTGTCGCAGACAAAAGTAAAGAGCGTGGGGGTTGTTGTGGGCGAAAGTAAAGAGCATGGGGGTTGTTGCGGACGAAAGTAAAGAGCATGGGGGTTGTTGCGGACGAAAGTAAAGAGCGTGGGGGTTGTTGCGGACGAAAGTAAAGAGCGTGGGGGTTGTCGCAGACGAAAGTAAAGAGCATGGGGGTTGTTGCGGACGAAAGTAAAGAGCGTGGGGGTTGTTGCGGACGAAAGTAAAGAGCATGGGGGTTGTTGTGGACGAAAGTAAAGAGCGTGGGGGTTGTTGTGGACGAAAGTAAAGAGCGTGGGGGTTGTTGCGGACGAAAGTAAAGAGCATGGGGGTTGTTGCGGACGAAAGTAAAGAGCGTGGGGGTTGTTGCGGACGAAAGTAAAGAGCGTGGGGGTTGTTGCGGACGAAAGTAAAGAGCATGGGGGTTGTTGTGGACGAAAGTAAAGAGCGTGGGGGTTGTTGCGGACGAAAGTAAAGAGCATGGGGGTTGTTGCGGACGAAAGTAAAGAGCATGGGGGTTGTTGCGGACGAAAGTAAAGAGCGTGGGGGTTGTTGCGGACGAAAGTAAAGAGCGAGGGGGTTGTCGCAGACAAAAGTAAAGAGCGTGGGGGTTGTCACAGACAAAAGTAAAGAGCGGGGGTGTTGTCGCAGACGAAAGTGAAGAGCGGGGGGAGGGCGTTGTTGCGAACGAAAGTGAAGAGCGTTGGGGTTGTCGCGGACGAAAGTAAAGAGCGTGGGGGTTGTCGCGGACGAAAGTGAAGAGCGTGGGGGTTGTCGCGGACGAAAGTGAAGAGCGTGGGGGTTGTCGCGGACGAAAGTGAAGGAGGGGAAGTTTTCACGGACGAAAGTAAAAAGCGTGGGGGTTGTCGCGGATGAAAGTAATGAGCGAGGGGGTTGTCGCAGACAAAAGTAAAGAGCGTGGGGGCTGTCGCAGACAAAAGTAAAGAGCGTGGGGGTTGTCGTGGATGAAAGTAATGAGCGAGGGGGTTGTCATGGACGAAAGCAAAGGCCAGGGGTTGTTGCGGATAAAAGGGAACAATGGTGGGGGTTGTTGCAGACGAAAGTGAAGAGCGGGGGGAGGGGGGTTGTTGCGGACGAAAGTAAAGAACAGGGTGTGTTGTCGCAGACGAAAGTGAAGAGGGTTGTGGAGTCACAGAAGAAAGTGAAAGTGAACAGTGGACTGGGGTTTGGAGGGCAGTTGAGGAGGGGGATCTGTAAAATGAGGTGCCTGGATCCAGATCCGACGTGTTCCGGCACTAATTAAGCCCTGATCGTAAGCTTGGCGAACAGTTTTGGAGAATTTGATGTTTCCACATTAAGACAGAATGCCGAGCCTACTGCCCTGTATCCCTTATACTGTGAACCCTGAACCATCCCATGACTTCAACAGCGTTACTCAAACTGAACCGTGCACTGGCCTCAACACTGTGAACTGAACCGCGTATGGCCCCACATTATCCCTACACCCCATCTCTAAACACCTAATCTCTGTGCTCTGGAGGGAATAACACAGACCTGGCCCTTCCTGAAGAAGTTGGGCAGATACTTCATGGCGTTGCTGCGCAGACAGGCGATGTTCTGGTACCGGCCCGGTTCTGCCACTCTCAGAGAGCGGATGCGGTCCTGCACATAATCCGAAACTTTAACCCGGATCTCCAGACCCAGAATCAGCTGCTGAGGGAAGAGCTGCGAGAGCTGGACTGCAGAGAAACAGAGGAGAACATCATCAGAAAACACCAGAGGAGATCTGTTGACATCTGTGTGTGCAGAAGTGTGTGTAGTGCAGTGTGTCCTCAGTCATGCTGCAGTGACAGAAACACAGCACGTCTCTCTAATATTGCTGATGTTCAGCAGGATCTAAATCTCTCTGAGGCCGCCACAGCCTGATGTAGGAGTGCGGTTTCCCCGCCCACTCATATTGATTGACAGGAGCGTATTAACATGTCTCCATAGTAACGCATATAAACATGTCGGCAGAAACTGGGTTAAAGATCTGTTCAGCTCTCTGTGATCAGCTGCAGCTCCACAATCAGTTTCACACGCTTCTGAACAGAGTGTGTGTGTGTGTGATGAAGACTGAGCAATCACTGGCAGTCAGAATAGTGTCTGTAAATGTGTGTGTGTGTGTGTGTGTGTGTGTGAGATGAAGACTGAACAATCACTGGCAGTCAGAATAGTGTCTGTAAATGTGTGTGTGTGTGTGTGTGTGTGAGATGAAGACTGAACAATCACTGGCAGTCAGAATAGTGTCTGTAAATGTGTGTGTGTGTGTGATGAAGACTGAGCAATCACTGGCAGTCAGAATAGTGTCTGTAAATGTGTGTGTGTGTGTGTGTGTGTGAGATGAAGACTGAACAATCACTGGCAGTCAGAATAGTGTCTGTAAATGTGTGTGTGTGTGAGATGAAGACTGAACAATCACTGGCAGTCAGAATAGTGTCTGTAAATGTGTGTGTGTGTGTGTGTGTGTGTGTGTGTGTGTGTGATGAAGACTGAACAATCACTGGCAGTCAGAATAGTGTCTATAAATGTGTGAATGTGTGTGTGTGTGTGTGTGTGTGTGTGTGTGTGTACTGCAAATTCTGTAACAGCATTAGTGTGTGCGTGTAACCCTGATCGAGCGGTCTATTAGTGATGAAACACAGATGCTTGATTTATCAGTTTGTAGAATGTTGGAATCCAGTACCTAATACTACAGTATAAATTATAATACTAATGTCTGTAATAAACGCAGTCAATGGCTGTGTTCTTCCAGCATTCTCCAGTATTTCAACAGAAGACAGAAACTCACAGAGGTTTGAGCAGGTGGTTAAATGAAGAGAGTGTGTGCAGACGCTGGAGATGCTGCAGCGCATCAGACGCTGGTGAATGTCGCCCTCTTGCTGCAGCAGGATTTACTGCAACAATCAACTATACACTGATCATCACAAACCTCCACACGACTACAGCAGACCATCACCATCATGTCTGATCAAACACACACTGCAGACACACAGATACAGCAGCATCAGCAGCAGAGCTGGATCAGACTCAAACAATAAGCACACACATCAGTCTATAATGACTGCTCAGATAAAATAAGAAGGTTAAAAAGTAATATATTAAACTAATATATGTATGTATATACAGCTGATGCAGAATTATTCGCCCTGTTTATTTTTTTCCCAATTTCTGCAGATTATTTCAGCAGATTTCTAATCATAACAGTGTTAATAACTCATCTATAATAACTGATTTATTTCCTCTTTGTCATGATGACAGCACATAATATTAGGCTAGATATTCTTCAAGACACTAGTGTTCAGCTTACAGTGACATGTAAAGGCTTCACTAGGGTAATTAGGGTAAAGTTAGGGTAATTAGGCAAGTCATTGTATAACAGTGGTTTGTTCTGGAGACAATCCAACACTAATATTGCTGAAGGGGTGAATAATATTGAGCTTAACATGAGTTTATAAACAATTAAAGACTGCAAAGGGGCGAATAATTCTGACTTCAACTGTTTTTATATATGTGTGTGTGTGTGTGTGTGTGTGTGTGTGTGTGTGTGTGTGTAAACATATAAAGCAACACCACATATGTCGATTGATTACTCAGAGTATGTGTGTGTGTGTGTGTGTGTGTGTATGTGTGTGTGTATGTGTGTGTGTGTGTGTGTGTGTGTGTGTGTGTGTGTATATGTGTGTGTGTGTGTATATGTGTGTGTGTGTGTATATGTGTGTGTGTGTGTATATGTGTGTGTGTGTGTGTGTGTGTGTGTGTATATATGTGTGTGTATATGTGTGTGTGTGTGTGTGTGTACTCAAAAAATAAACATTTCTTGCTCATTTAAACTACTAAATTAAAATAAGCTGAATCAGCACAGTTCTTGAGTTTCATTGAGACGGTTTAATTTTTAATGTTCAGTCCACGTCATAAATTTGTTAGACGTGTTGAGTTAACTTAATTTGTGTTGGGTCAACATGAATGAATTGTGTTGAACCCTGGCTTTTTGACTGTGTGTGTGTGTGTGTGTGTGTGTGTGTGTGTGTGTGTGTGTGTGTGTGTGTGTGTGTGTGTGTGTGTGTGTGTGTGTGTGTGTGTGTGTGTGTGTGTGTGTACCCAGCAGTCCTCCGTATCCGCAGCCGATGTCTGCGAACTCCACCTGCGCTCCTCCAGCCTCCTCCTGCTGAGGGAAATACTGCGGGTACAGCGGAGACCAGTCCATCTGCTCTGGACACACCGGACTGACACACACACACACACACACACACACACACACACACACACACACACACACACACACAAGATGAGTGAGGGGCACACACACAGACACCCATACTCACTCTCACTCTCTCTCACACATACACACACACACACACACACAAGACAGTCACTCACACATACACACACATACACACACGTATGTGAATGCATGCAAGAACGCGCGCGCACACACACACACACACACACACACACACACACACACATATATATATATACACACACACACACTCACTCACTCACTTATTCATTCTCACACACAAACAGTTACACTAGACACACACACACCAGACAGACAGTCACACACACCCTCTCTCTCACACACACACTTACTACTGGAAGGTGTGGTCCGCCATGGGGTTAGAGTGGGCTCTCTGCCGGTAGTAACGCTTTTGTGGCATACACACACTCATCGCGACTGCTATACGCACACTCTCTCTCTCTCACACACACACACACACACACACACACTCGGTGTTGTCCGTAATACACACTAGTGTTGACTTCCCTCTCCTGCTACACATGTGCACTCTCTCTTCTTCTTCTGCTGCTGCTTCTTCCTCCTCTTCTGCGGCTGCAGTGTGGCGCTCTCTGCTGGACAGACCCTGAAACACAAACTAAAACATGACAGTAGAACTTTATTTCTGCAGGGGTCGCCACAGCGGAATGAACCACCAACTATTCCAGCATATGTTTTACACAGCGGACGCCCTTCCAGTTGCAACCCAGTACTGGGAAATACCCATACACAACTTATTCTCTCTCTCTCTCTCTCTCACACACACATACACAAACACTCATTCACTATGGCCACCAGTGTAGTTGATCAGTTCCCCTATAGCGCATGTGTTTAGACTGAAACCGGAGCACCCGGAGGAAACTCACGACAACACGGGGACAACATGCAAACTCCACACAGAAACACCAGCTGACCCAGCCGAGACTCAAACCTTCTTGCAAAGAGCAACAGCGCAACCAAAACTAAATATAAAACATATACATCTCACAAACTAAAAAATAATAAAAAAACAAACAAAATAAAATAGTTGCCAACTGTAATAAAAATACAAAATAAAATAAATAAATAACAAATCAGCCAAATTAAATGTAGATAATGCGTCATATGTCTCCGCTTTTCTGTTACCACATTTGTTCCTTTTACGCACTGTCAGCGTGACCGCGCTCTCGGGACTTTTATTTTGAAGTGTCCGGCTGTCGCGCGCGTCCCCGTCACCTTCGCCGTCCTCATGGCTGCTTTTCAATGAAGTCCAGCTTTCCTTCATCATTCTTCATCTCTTCCGACAGCAATCTTCATCTTCAGGTGAGTCATCATCGTCTTCATCAGCTCAGGGTGTGTGTGTGTTCAGCAGCCGTGTGTGTGTGTGTGTGTATGACTGTAATGAGAACGCGACGAGTTTCTGCATTTCTGACACATCGACACAGTGTCAGATTAATATGTCAATGGGCTCTATGCACGGCGGCGCGTGACGCATTTCCGGTAAAATTTAAGACCCCGAGCCTACTTCCGCCGATCGTACAGTACAGTACTA